TTAAAATATTTTAAATATATAGTTAGTGTCAAACTTCCAGACTTTTGCTTAAAAACTAATGAGAAAATTAATATTAACTCAAACAGAAGAGCAAAATTATTAAAGGAACATTTTTTAGCTGCTTCAGAGTAAGTTAAAATGTAAATTATTCCCACACGTCATGAGTAATTAATTGAGAGAATCTAGGAAAAGCAACAAATCTTTTTTTTTTTAGATTCCTAACTAAGTGATCAACTTTAATCAGTTTCACTCAAACACTGCTCGTCTGCAGTAAAACCAAATTCACTGAAAAGATCTGTCTGAGRGCAACAAAGGAAAAATCTTTCCTCAAACAAAACCTCCGTTTGTTTCTTTAYCAGACTCAACCCTTTCTGTGGCTCGTGCACGTTTTCTTTTCGCTTCATGACAAATCTCTTCGAGGTCCACATTAGGCAGTCCGGACTTAAAGGATCACAGACATGAATAAAACAGAAGTTCCCTTTGAAACAATGTGACATTTCCACATCAGCTGGAATGAAAACATTGGGCCACGCTTGATCTGTTTATGTGAAACTGAGCCCGGCTCGGAGACGCTGCAGCGTTTGATGTGCTGCTGAGGGTCTGAGTCACTTGACCAGCTGCTGTTTCAACGGGCAAAACGTCTGAAATCCCTCTGAACTGTGTGGTCAGCGGCRAGCGGAGGCATCTGATGCTGCACGCAAACACGCCACCTCCGAGCTATAATACAGGAAATGTGATTTGGAACAATAATRCTCGGGTTTTAGTCAAATGTGTCATTAGTGGAGGGTTTCACAGCTTTTAGTTTAATTTTAAAAATAATGGTTTAAAATGTTTAAAAAAATATTGTTAAACTCATTTACTGGGGTTAGAATAAGAATTTTTTGTGGTACATTTTTTTGTAAAAGTTTAAAGATGGCAGCTTAGGTCTATGTCTGATTCTGGTTCTAACTGGACAATTTCTCAGCGGTAGCATTTTGACCCCTGCATGTACACAAAGCACCAATGCATCAAAACTAGGGCTGTGTATTGGCAAGAATTTGGCGATATGATACATTTCATGACAGAGGGGTCACGATACGATATATCCCGATATATTGCGATACTGTAAACAAGGCGATATATTGCGATTTTTTTTGTCCAAAAATTCTGTTRAATAAAAACCTCTTACAGGGGAAAAAAAAATGAAAAACCAAAATTCATTRTCTCAKAAAATTCTAATAGTACATAGACATACTTTTGATACATTTARCTGTGTTCTGCTTTGTATGTATTTTATTTTATTTGTTTCATATTTCTTATTTCATCCATATTTTCAATTATTAGACTAAATTTGACAATAAATAGTTTGAAAATATATTTCTGCAGCTTTTAGTTTTTAATATTAATTTATATGGTCACCCAACACTTGAGCCAAGTGGCTGGCTCACTGCTGCCAACTAGTGGTCAGAGGCTGAACTACAACATAAAAATGAATGGCTGGCAGGAAAGTTGACATTTTAAACTTTAATAAAAAATCGATACAGGGCTTTAGAATATCGATACAGTATCGGGAAATGAAATATCACGATGTTTCAGTGTATCGATATTTTCTTATACCCCTAATCAAAACTCAGAAGTCACTTTTTCAGATGGAGCCCCCTCCTCAAATATGGGGCCTATTGTAAAACCGTTGTCTGGAGCAGTGTAGGTCAGACTCATCTACTGACCTGCCAAATTTCATGCTGCTAGATGCATCCCAAAATTGCATTGTTTTGGGTGGGGGTGAGGGGGGTAGGGGGGCTCATTGGTGGGCCCGAAGGATAGCCCTTCATCAGAGCTAAACAACCAAAAAGGCTGAAGGTCCTACATTGAGTAGTTATAAGCATTTTTGTATGTCCAGACACCAACTTTTCAGATGGAGACCCCTCTGCAGAAATGGGGTCTATCATAAAACCGTTGGCTGGCTCAGTGTAGGTCGGACACATCTACTGTACATTCCTGCCAAATTTCATGTTGATATGTGCAGCTCAAATTTGCATGTATGCAAAGCACCAATGCACCAGAATTCAGAAGTCACCTTTTCAGATGGAGCCCCCTCCTCAGATGTCAGGTCTATCGTAAAACCGTTGGTTGGTGCAGTGTGGGTCAGACTCATCTACATTCCTGTTAAATTTCACGTTGATCGGTGCAGCTGTTTCTGTGCTACTGTTGACCAAAAATCTTTTTAAAATAAATCACACGACCCCCGCTTCACATGTATGGGTCCAACTTATCCTCYATTTTATACACTACTTTACACTATTGTTTAAAAACACTAAAAGATTTTAAGCAAATAAAGAGATTATTTGCAAAGTTATTATAAATACAGCTCTTTAAGTTGAGTTATTAGAAGTTTTTTTCTGAGTGATTAGAAAAGATACAGCAACAATACAGCCTACATACGGTTACTTTCCTTTCAACTTGAATCACAAATATTCTTTGTGGCCGAGGCTGGACAGAAAAACCTCTCCAAGGTCAGAAATCTTCTATCAAACTAATCCAGACRTTCATAAAACCTGAACTGTTCAACAATGCATCGGCATACATTCCCCAACCTCTCCAACTTTCCTGTTCACCTTCCGTCCACCTTACCTGCAGGCAGCCGCCGAGCTGGGCAGGAAGGAGGACAGACGAGCATTTCGCCAGCAGCACAGAATCACTAGATTTAAGTCGGTTAGCGCTCGACTCCTCTGGAGAATGACAATCACGAGGAAACAAAGACTGCGTGATGGTTTGACTGACAGTCTTTTATGTCTGCTCACTACAAGGTCAGATGTACCCCCAAATAGAAAATAGATGTGAGTGATCTCCAATTTCTTCAAAGAACGTCCTTCGCGTGGGACTGRGCTCCGTGTTTTTGGGTAAAATAAGGAGCATGATTTATGAGCGCGCACCACCATCAAAAAGGAGCCAAATGGCATCGGAGTCAAATAATCTAAATATAATAGTGTGACTGCTGCTATGTCAACTTCAACCTTGTCTCATAAATGTCACGAGGAGGAAATGTTCGGAGGTTAATTTCATTATATTATCAAGAGAATAAGGCAATTACTAACAAATGACAAAAAAGGGCGATTCAGAAGCCATTCTGAGGATAACTGACCGTGCTATGTCCTCTCGGCAGGTGGCTATTCATAATACAGCAGGTGATTCATATGAATTATTTCCTACCTGTCATTCACTTTGCTCTGCAGCCGGAGTAATTGTAGTCCTGTAGATCTCACTTTGGCTCCTTCTGCAGGATTCTTGGGTGACCTTCCTGGGTGTTTCTGTCYGAGCAATTATCTGTCAACATTTGGGAGAGAAAGAAAAAGTATGAAAACCTTCCAACAAATATTGGTCAGTAAAAAAGGGACTGTAAAAGAAACAGGAAAGTTGTTGTTTTCATATCTAATTTGAGGACATATTCTGCTTTACGACACGTCGTAGAACAGTCGGGATTATTTTCTTTTTTGTAAATTATCACATAAAAGTCAGTGACTCGTGGTGCTAACTTCCACACGGTTTCTCCACCTGATAAAACCACACAGTTCCTCTGGTATTATACTCATCGTTATCCGCTGGCCTCTAAAAAATCATAAAAATCTGTTTTTCATAGCCACAGAACCGTGTTTTGGTATTTTTTCCCCCCACATATGCTTATTCAATATCCGGCAATAAAAAACCAGCAAGACCTCAATTTGCCTTGGAACTGTTAATCTCCAAAAGGAAACGCATCCACACAAAGCAGCGAGAAGCTAAGTAACGGCACAGGGTCATTTGGCGCCGATGAAGTATTGGTAAAAACGAGTTTCCATGGAGACTAATACGCTCGTAGCTAAAGACAGAGCGGCGCTCCGGTATGAGTGAAGTGAGCTGTGGGGCACGAAGATAAGTGCACACAAAGAGACACAATGTCAGCACAGACACACACCTGTAATCAACACACACGTTTACAGGCTGCGGCTTTAACRAGCAGAAAAAGGTTTTAATCAAAATGTGAAAATGACAACTTTAATGTGTTTGCTTCRAATGTTGGATTCAGGCTCTGCACGTATAATAATACAGATAATTAATTCTTGCATCAAATATATATGTTTAGATGAAGTCTTAAAGGTGTGTTGAATTATTTWTCCAATTTATAGCCTTGTTATAGTCTACAGTTTTAGCTAAAATTATACTTTTTTCTGTTTGACGTTTAAGACAGATCAATCAAAACGCTGCTCTTCTCTTTGAAGCTTAAACAGTAAAACAAAAAGTGATGAAATACAGACAGACACAGAGAACGCAGCAGGATCTGAAGTTGGGGCGGATAAAAATGAGCAGGTGTTTGGTTTTTTTGGTTTTTTCTGAAACCTGATTGGTTCCTCCTGCATATCTGAACCGAGACGCTTTCAAACGCAAAAACTCTGAGAGTCGGCAGACGTAAATATAAGTTATCAAGCACAGAAAAAGTAAATATTTTTACCATGTTCCCTTAAAAATTATTTTTATCTACAGCCAGGGGTATTCTTTTATTTCAGGAGGCAGTTTTCAGTCAGATGAAAATATCAGACACTGCGCTGGAAAACAAAGATAAAACCAATGGATAAAACAAAATAAATCCATTCTTTGTATGTGTGAATACAGAAGACAGCAGTTTATTTAAATAAATAAATAAATAAATAAATAGAACAATGTGTCAGCTGTTTCCTGTATTTGTGACCCTTCAGGTCTGATCGGACCTTCAGGGTTTTGACTCGTCAGTAGCTGGAGCTGTGGCACACAGAGTCACAGAGCAGAATGGGATTAAAAATCYCCCCAGTTTGGATGAGATTACGCTGTAATTCAGTCTTGCCCAGCCCTGGTCCTGGGGACCTCCTACACAGCAGCACGCTGCAGACGCTCCTCCTCTCCAGCAGACCTGATCCCAATGAATGGTCATTATCACACTTCTGCAGAGGCTGATTAAAAGCCCAAAGAGCTGACCCATTTATTTGAATTAGGTGTGTTGGAGCAGGGAAACATGTTAAACATGCAAGGACTGGAGGGTGGGGGTGGGGGGGGGACCAGGACTGTGAAATACAGCTCTAATTAAAACAGGGTCTGCAGTTTTAGATTTAAACGGTTACAGAAGCAGTTTATAAATCACTTCTGAAGACTCAGATTTCCTGCATCTCCAACAGATTTGGTCTTGTTTGTGCACGAACGGGGCGACTTCTGCCTGCTGGAACAACGTAGCGGTCGTTTCTCCTCACGTACGTCACAGCCCCTCCCTCCAGAGGTGTTCTGTTCATGCTGGGAGTCCTCACAGATCCACATGAACCCCTGTAGAACCAGGTTGTCGACAGGAACCGTGTTTCCATTCAACTGGAATGCCAATTCTGACTGAACTTTTAATAAGTTGCAAAAGAAAAAAAGGAAGCTAATTAGGCATGTTTCCATCTACCGCTATGGAGCGAATCAACCAGGCTGCATGATGCATTATTTCATCACATGGTTGTAACAWACAGGAAGTAGAGGTGGCAAACTAGCAGGACCACACATCTCACGACACTGGAGAGAAGTTTTCAGGAATGTGTTGCTGTCGGTTGTAACATCATCAGTAAGTGATATCATAGGGGGACTATAATAATAATAATAAATAATAAATAATAATATAATAAACTATCTGGTCTTTGTTTTTCAAACCGTATCTAAACTTTAACTCTTCTTAATCTATCTTTGATATAAACTCAAAATAATAAATCTAAGGAAACATCAGATTCTCTGCAGTCTGTTGTAACAACGCTCTGTTTACATACAGACATTCCCCTGTGACATCACTTCCTGTTTCTTCACACGCAAATATCTCAACAACTTTTCATCTCAGTGGTGTGGAATTTCTTTTGCAATATTTGATCAATGCTCTCTTTCCAAAAATGTATTCAGGTTTATGACAAAAAATGATGTCACAGTCACAGACAATAATGACAAACAAAACATTCAATTTCAACCCCATGTGCAATATAAAATGTGTGAAATACATCTCAAGTGCAATGTTTTTGTAATATTTCTTATGTGCAATATCTTCAAATAACTAAGAAGTAAATTTTGTAAGATATTTCCTTATTCATTTTTATATATAAATTATTTCATTTTTTGTTTAGTGTGCATTTTGTCTTATATTTAACTTGTCTGTTATTTTATTGTCTATTTTTTTCATCTCGTCTACAAAACAAAGTTTGAGTAGYAAATCAAATTTTATCACAATGTAAATTATAATGACAATAACGGCGATTCTGATTCGACTAGAGGAGGTGGTTATGTATTGGGTGGAGAAACGTGTTTGTGCAGCTCGATCTGTAGGTCAACAGGAACGACAGTAAAGAAAAACAAACTGTAGAAAAACGCACGTCCCTCCCACTGCTGCAGCTGCTGTCATTGGTTACAAGGTGAGACACTAACACGCACCTGAGAAAAGTATTGATGTGATCRAGCAGAAATTTTTGCTTATCACTACAATATCAAGTCACCTTGTTCTTTTTTTTTCCCTAATCAAATGTCAACAACATTGCTATCTAAGCCTGATATGAGGCCATTAAATCTGTGTTTCAATCCATGATGCTGTGGACTGCATCCTAATGCTCCTGATTCCAGGCTCCAGGTTACTTAACTCAAACTTCCTGATTGTGCGATCAGAGGAATAAAAGCTCCAAATCAGCTCGGAGGTGAAAATATGCTCACGCTGGCAGGTTCAGACGAGCACGCGAGCTGAGATTTAGTACCAGGAGCTTCTGTTTTATCACTGGGTTGAGGGAGAGGTTGAAGCTATTGACACACAGAGGTACGGCTAAGCCACTTCACATCCCAATCGATCACAGGTTCACTCCACTACAAGTGGCATTCTCCTTATAAACTGAGATTTTACTGCCTGCACTGCCTTCCAGAACCCAGACTCTTGGCTGTGGTTCTGGTCCAGCACTAGATTCAGTTAAGAGTACCGCACAGTCCTCTGCTCTTTTTTTTTTAAGTCCTCCTTTGTTCCTCGATCAAAACTCGGTTTGAGAATGTTTTGTTGCTCAGTGTTTGGCTGCTGCAGGAGCAGAAACAGATGGCTGGCTATTTATGGACGGCGCTGCAAAATCCAGCTCAAATGAAGTGCTCTTTCAACGGGATTTTAGWGGTTTTAATTCCTGCACAGGGAACCTCATAAAGCCCTGGACCAGGAACTTTTAAATGGCCCGTGACAATGAGATTATAAAAGATGGTTTTCAAAGTATCTGACATTAGCATGCTCACAACCGCACACAAACAGGTGATTAAATCCTGGGTTTTCTGTTCGGACACAGATTGAATATAAAGATAAATTAATAT